GTAGAAATTTGCGGAATGATATCTTTATTCATAATCAGAATAACATATAAATAGATAAGAGTCTTATATTGAGTAAGTAAACTAAATAAAATAATAAATATTTCTAAATATATATATTTTCGGATTTGATAAGATTGATATATCTCGTAGTATTCTTCAAGATCCGATATATCTCAACAGATTGGGTGTGGCTACATCTAAGACAGGAGCGCTTTCCAAACTATTGAAAAATAAAATGCGGAAACTAAAAAGAGAGAAAAGAAGAGAAAAATAAAACAAAGAACACTTTTATTACTACCTCTTCTTCTTGTTATTTTACAATGAGAATAACTCATCTATTTATAAGAAACAACTATAAAATTATTAAAGAAAGAAATTTACAAAGAAATAATATATGATGGAAACAAATAAATTAAGAGATAATTGACACAATTATCATTATTTGTTAATTGATTTTGTGACTTTAATTTCTCTCAATCATCTTCATAATCATTTCCAATCAATTTCAATCTTCTTAAATATATATTTGTTTCCTCATTTCAACATTCCCCCTCAAGATTGACTTAGAGATAATGCAAAAAGTCAATCTTGAAGAAAATACCTGAAATAATTCAAAAACTCGATGAGTAATTCATTGTTAATAAAATGATCCATAGATACCAATCTGGTTCTTGAGAGTTTTGATCCATCTTCAAATCAGTTCGCTTGATCATGGAATTCTACCTTTATCTCCTTTTGTCATAGCACTTCGCTTGATCTTGGAGCTTTTTGTGGCTTTGATTTCTTTTGTCATAGCACCTCGTTTGATTCTGGATTTTGCTTCACTTCAAACCACTTGGATATATGAATATTAAGAACTCAAAAATAAAGAGAGTAGAAAATAAAAACTAAGAAAATATATAGATCAGATCGTAATTAGGCTCTGATACCATATTGAAAAATAAAATGCGGAAACTAAAAAGAGAGAAAAGAAGAGAAAAATAAAATAAAGAACACTTTTATTACTACATCTCTTCTTCTTGTTATTTTACAATGAGAATAACTCATCTATTTATAAGAAACAACTATAAAATAATTAAAGAAAGAAATTTACAAAGAAATAATATATGATGAAAACAAATAAATTAAGAGATAATTGACACAATTATCATTAATTGTTAATTGATTTTTTGACTTTAATTTCTCTCAATCATCCTCATAATTATTTCCAATCAATTTCAATCTTCTTAAATATATATTTGTTTCCTCATTTCAACATCCGACGCAAAGAACCTCTATGAGAACGAGAAAGAACCCCTGTTGAATGTCCTCCAAGACGTAGAGAAGGCAGGAACCACGTCCTAATTGAAGAAGATGATGAGGACGATGATCTCTATCGAGAACAACCACGTCGTGCAAGACAACACGGTAACGATATGAAATTAAAATTACCTACATTTGCTGGTCGTGTTAACCCGGATGCCTATCTCGATTGGGAGAGGTGAATGGATAATAGTTTAGAGTGTTATGAGTATTCGGAGCACAAGATGGTGCAATATGTCGCGGGACAACTCACCGACAATGCACTAGCATGGTGGGATCGTGAAGTAGCGGAAAGGAGGAGAGCACGATACGAACCAATTTCTACATGGCGTGAGATGAAATTTATGATGAGAAAAATGTATGTTCCACCTCATTTTCATCGAGAGTTACAGAAGAAATATCGTACTCTATTGCAAGGATCTAGGTCAGTTGAAGATTACTTCGAAGAATTTGAATATCTTCGGAACCGATTGGAATTGGACGAAAGCGAGGAAGTAGTGATGGCACAATTTGTTAATGGACTGCAAGAACGAATTTCTCGCAAGGTAGAAAGATTAGTTTACGATGAGTTGCAAGAACTACTTCATATGGCAATACAAATTGAGCAACAAATCAACAAGAAGCAAACTCGAGTAAACCAAGCTCGAATGACCGCACCGAATCCTACAACACACCGAACCGAGTACAAGGGCGTTTCCACCGATGTGAATCGACCAAGTCTGAACGAAATTCATGTTAAATACAAGGGAAAATTCGTGGCTACTTATAAGGAGGATGCAAAGGTAAGTAAATCGAACACTACTAACCTTCGAACTCGAGAGATTGTTTGCTACAAGTGTAGGGGACGCGAAAATTATGCTAAGGATTGCCCGAACAATCGAGTCATGATCCTCACAGATGTGGGAGAGTATGAGTCAATGGATGAGGATGAAGTGGAGAGAGTAGAAGGAGAGATCGAATACCCGGATAGTGGTGAGTTATTGGTCACGAGACGCGTTTTAAGCGCCATGACAAATCCGGAAGAAACCGCACAACGAGAGACCATATTCCACAGTCGTTGTACCGTGAGGAACAAGGTATGTTGTGTAATTATTGATAGCGGTTCTTGTACTAACGTTGCGAGTGCCTACATGGTAAAGAAGCTAGGGCTTGAAATCGAGAAGCATCCTCATCCGTACAAATTACAATGGCTTAACAACCAAGGTGAACTTAAGGTAAACGAGAGAGTCAAACTTTCGTTTAGCATTGGAAGATACGAAGATGAAGTATTATGTGATGTGGTTCCAATGCAAGTCGGACACATTCTTCTTGGACGACCTTGGCAATTCGACCGAGAGGTGAAACATGATGGTAGGACTAACCATTATTTATTCATATATAACAAACGTAAGATATCGTTGGCTCTCCTTAGTCCATCGCAGGTTCATGAGATGCAAGTGAAGTTGTCAAAGGAAGGCGACTACAAAAAGACAATTTTTTATGTAAAAACCGAGTACGGTAAGTAAAGCGTTAGTCAATGATCACTTGGTTTTACTAATGTTGTTCAAAGATGCTTTGAGTACAGGCTCGAAACAGATTGTACATCCTCCGGAGATCACAAGACTCTTGGAATGTTTCCAAGACATTTTCCCCGAGGGATCGAGCATCAAATTGATCTCGTATCGGGAGCACCTCTATCGAATCGTCCCGCTTATCGTATGAATCCTGAGGAAACCAAAGAACTCCAAAAGCAGGTACAAGAGTTGTTATATAAGGGTTATATACGTGAAAGGTTAAGTCCTTGTGCAGTGCCGGTTTTGCTCGTACCGAAGAAGGATGGGACGTGACGCATGTGCGTCGATTGCAGAGCGATAAACAACATCACCATCAAGCACTGTCATCCCATTCCACGACTAGATGATATGTTGGATGAGTTGAGTGGAGCAACCATGTTCTCAAAGGTGGATTTAAAGAGTGGTTACCATCAAGTACGTATGCGTGAAGGAGACGAGTGGAAAACCGCATTCAAAACAAAATAAGGGTTGTACGAATGGCTCGTCATGCCAATTCCCCAAGCATGTTCATGAGACTCATGAACCATGTCTTATGTGCTTTCATCCGTAAATTTGTTGTTGTTTATTTTGATGATATTTTGGTTTATAGCAAATGTTTTACCGAACATGTGACACATCTTGAGCTCGTGATGGAGACTCTCCGTCGAGAGAAACTATATTCGAACTTCAAGAAGTGCACATTCTGCACTAATGAAGTTGTTTTTCTAGGATTTGTTGTGAGTTTTCAGGGATTAAGCGTGGACGAAGAAAAGATCAAAGCTATCCGAGAGTGGCCCACACCGACTACCGTTGGCCATGTTCGAAGTTTCTATGGCTTAGCAAGTTTTTATCGTCATTTTGTGGGAGATTTCAGCAGCCTTGCTGCACCCTTCACTTCTATCATAAAAAAGGACAAGTCGTTTGAATGGGGAGAAGCACAAGAAAGGGCATTCAACACCTTGAAGGATAAGCTCACGAGTGCACCCGTCCTAATCCTCCCAGACTTTGAAAAAGTATTCGAACTTGAGTGTGATGCATCTGGAATTGGCATAGGGGCTGTGCTTATGCAAGAGAAGCGTCCCGTGGCGTTCTTTAGTGAGAAACAGAATGGAGCCACCCTTAATTATCCGACCTATGACAAGGAATTATACTCATTGGTTCGAGCGCTCCAAACATGGCAACACTATTTGTTGGCCCGTGAATTCATCATCCATACCGACCACAAGACATTGAAACATCTCAAGGGTCAATCAACACTCAATAGGAGGCATGCTAAATGGCTAGAATACATCGAGACGTTTCCGTACGTGATTAAATACAAGAAGGACAAAGACAATGTGGTGGCCGATGCATTGTTAAGGCGACATGCCTTGATTTCGATCATGGAGGCAAAAATGCTCGGCTTTGAGCTCATTAAGGAGTTGTACCGTGATGATTCAGAGATTGGGGATATCTATAAGGAGTGCACTAAGGGATCTCACAAACAATTCTACAAGGAGGACGATTATCTCTTTCGGGAATGACGACTATGCATTCCAAAATGTTCGATGCGGGAACTCATTCTACAAGAGGCTCATGGAGGAGCTCTCATGGGAAATTTTGGCGTCGAGAAGACACTTGTGATGGTCAAGAAACACTTCTTTTGGCCATATCTCAAACGGGATGTCGAAAGAGTTGTCGCTCAATGCATTATATGTCATCAAGCAAAATCTAAGACACACTCGCACGGTTTGTATCTTCCTCTTCCAATTCCTTTTGTCCTTGGACTGATTTATCTTTGGACTTTGTTCTTGGATTTCCAAAAATCCAGAACAAAGATTCTATTTTTGTTGTTGTGGATAGGTTCTCAAAGATGGCACACTTCATTCCATGCACAAAGGCGAATGATGCTTCACACATCGCTGAATTGTTCTTCAAGGAAGTATTTCGCTTGCATGGGCTGACAAGAAGCATCGTGTCTGATCGAGACTCAAAATTTTTGAGCTATTTTTGGAAGACATTATGGAGAAAGCTTGGGACAAAGCTCGTTTTCTCAACAACTTGTCATCCGCAAACCGATGGCCAAACCGAAGTCGTAAATCGAACATTGGCTGCATTACTCCGAGCAACAATGGGAAACAACCTCAAGAATTGGTTAGAGTGTCTACCACACGTTGAGTTTTCATACAACCGAGCGACGCATTCCGCCTCAAAGCATTCGCCTTTTGAAGTTGTCTATGGTTTCAACCCATTGACACCACTAGATATGTCACCAATTCCGAACCAAGACATGATCAGCCTTGAAGGGGAGAAGAAAGCCGAGGCTATCAAAAAGCTACATGAAAAAGTTCGTGACAACATTGCAAGAAAAACCGAGCAATACACGCGACAAGCCAACAAGGGACGTAAGAAGGTGTCATTTGAAGTCGGAGATTGGGCGTTGCTGCATCTTAGACCAGAAAGATTTCCAAAAACGAGGAGTTCAAAGCTATCTACGAGAGGAGACGGACCATTCCGCATCTTAGAGAAGATCAACGACAATGCCTACCGCCTGGAATTACCGGGTAAGTATAATGTCTCTTCGTCTTTCAATGTAGCTGACCTACTTCCGTTTGATGCAAGAGATTCTGTTTTGAGGGCAAAACATTTGAAAGGGGGAGGCAATCAAGACATGGACGATGACGAACAAAACCCGAACAAGAAGCAAGACGATGCCATAGACACTATAGGAGGAGAAGAAGTGGACACCGAGCTTACCATGCCAACCATTCCCATACCTTCACTCACAAGAAAAAGGACTCGAGGCCTACGTTCAAAGATCAATGCATATGTCGAAGAATGGCTGACCAAAACATCCGACAAGGGGCTATACAATGCAAAGGACACGATAGCGGCAACAAGCACAAAACATCGCAATGTCTTGGAGTTTATGTTGTCCAACACTTAAGATTTCGTGGACTAACACCTAGGCTACCAAAGAGATATTTGAAGATTGTATTCTCAATATATGGGCTGAAAATCCAAGCCCAAAGAGCCCAAAAATATTCTACACAAGTCCAAGAAGATACCAACCCATTATAAAGGATATGGTGCCACCTTTGAACCAAATTTTGGCCCACCTTTATCAAGCACGAATTGGGGAAGTTTTCTACATTATTTCAACCTCATGAAGACCTTCTTTAAGCCTCCTAGCCATTGCAAGACGTTGGCCTTCCACTTCCACCAACTCTCCACTTGTTCCTTACTTTATGGTGTCTTGTTTTCCATTAACTCTCTTTAATGTTTTGTTAGCTCCTCCTTATGCACGAATTATCTAGGCTTTCTTCTGTGTTTCAAGCCTATTTAAAGGCCTTTGTATATCAAGAATGAGCAGACTTTGAATTGATAAAAATCGATTTTCATATTTGCGTCTTCTTCTTGGTGTGTCCGAGAGTATCGCCTTCTGCGCATGTGTGTGTGTCACCCTTGTGCAAGGTCAAAACGTGGTAGATTCAAGGTTGGTTAAGCTCCTTTGAATCCTCTTTCATACCCCTACCTTCCATCAAAAATTGGGAATCTTCCAAGTGCCCTTTGGCCTGGAACTTCCCTTCCATCTATCACCTAAATCGAGTGCTTTCGAGTGCTCTGTTTTAGTCCGACTTGTAGGTTGATTTTGAAGGACTCTGAGTGCCCTTTGTCCTGGATATACTTTTGAAATCTAACCATAGGAATATCTTAATGAGTCTGTCCCCTGGTTTCTATCTTGTTGTATTCGTTGTCCAAAAGACAACATAAGACACGCACATACAACCCGCATTTCACCGAAGGAAACGAGCAAGACTTCCTTGGCTCCATGCGTGTATCAGGTTCTCTCGGGCAAATAGTGCTGAGACCATGAATTGTTGAAGATTCCATGGTCGGAATGTGCTCGCCGCGATTTGCATCCAGAAAGTTCGGGCTTTGGTGATCGTGATCTTCGGTATCGCAGCGGTGGTACTCATTTGGACACCCAGAATCTTAGCAAGTTGTTCCATCTTGAGATAGAATTGTCGCCCCTCTAGTCAGAATCCAAAGCAACCATCTCTAGGGTTGCTGTTCTTCGGGATGAAGTAGTTGAATGTGCAGGCAAATTCCGTCGTCAACGTTCGATATGTCCGAGGGGTTGCACGAAATAGACGGCCCCATCTTGCGAATTGAAAGATCCCTTGGATAGACTCGTAGAATTGTCTCGGTCTGATGTTGTGATGCACAAACTTTGAAGCTTTGATTCCTCTGTTCTGGACTCGGTTTAGGGCGAGAGCTTCCTCGTCGGATCTAGGTTGAAACGGAGTTGGTTCTGCAAAAGGTAAGTCAACATTGATGGGGGCCGCATCTACGAGACTTGAAAAATGTGTGCTTTGTGGTTTGAAGTCTTGCAAGGGTTGTATGTTGTCTGAAATGTACTTTCGTGATTTGCCCCAACGACAGCCGGAATCCATTTGAAACACATAAAAATGATCAAAAATTGGTCAGAGAAAACGAGCGGGTCGCCTGAAATCATGGGCGACCGCTCGTTTTGCCAAAGTATGAAGAAGTGTTCCGGGCGACCGTTTGGGAGGTCGCTCATTTGTGCACCGTTTTGTTGGGATTCCTGGGATCTCATAAGCGAATCCTATTCCTAAGAGATCAGTTCTAGGGTTTGCGCAGCGGATGTAAAACCAAAATTTTGATATAACCCTAAAACCTATAATGCATGATCTTGTAGAAACGATAGAACGCTTACCTCAATCGATCCGGGGCCTGTATCAATTGATGTGTTCGTCCGATCACTGTAGGCAGGAAGAATACCTTGCCCTCTACACGTATCCATACCTCGGGATGGATTCCAACCTTTGGAATTTGTCTGCTAGGACTCGAATCTTCTATTCGATGATGTGCTTTTAGAAAAACGAGATTTAGATCACTTCTTCAACCTTCTAGACTCTCCAAAAAGGTCTGAAGAAGTTCTCTATTTCGGCTCATCAGTGTTAGGGTTATCAATCTCATCTTCTTCAAGTGATTAACCCTAATTCCGGATTTTAAATTTAAATCCGAAACCTAGACCGAACGGATTGCTTAGTAGTCCGTTCGGTCTGGACACTTGGTCCGTTCGTGTTGGGAATTCTACGGGTTCCTAGCATGCGATCATATCGATCTAGGGTTTGGTTTACTAGGTTTCATGCAGCGGAAGAAAGATCTAAACCTAATCAAACGTCACACGCAACCAAACTTACAAAACCCGAAAGATCGTGTATATCACCGAGGGAATCGTTACTTACCTTGTTCTCGATGAGACTTGAAGTTTATTTCGATCCGGGGCCTGTTCTAAATCACCTAGGACTGAAGTTACAGTCCCTCTACACATATCCACACCGTCGGGAAGGATTCCAAACGATTTGGAACAAATCTGCTAGGATTAGTGAAGAAAATGGTAACTCAAGAGACGAGATCCAATCCCGGGATAATAGAAATCGAAGAGAACAGGTTCTCTAGGGTTCTAGGATGTTTCTCTGAGTTTTAGGTCAGCCTTAATTAAGTTTGGACGAAATCCCAAACTTAATTAAGCTTAGAAAACTCTAAATCCGATTTTTAGGAAAGTTCCAGATCCCGGTCCGCCGGACCAGGAGCTTGGTCCGGCGGACCAGGCTTACTCAGCCGCCCTCGGACCGTCTGACCTGGAGCCTTGGTCCGGCTGACCAAGTTTTGGTCAGCTCCGGACGAAGTCTCCTGGTCTTCTTTCGGTCCGCATGTTCGCTCCTCGGTCCGACTTGGACAGATGACCTCAGACTGAGCTTCCGGACCGCCTGATCTGACCAACTTGGTCCAGGGCTGACCAAACTTGGTCAGCTCCGAACCAACACACTGAAAACTCCTTTTCATGCTCGTTTTGGTCAAATCTCATTTTCATTCTTCGGATTCTTCACGTATAAGTCCATCCCTAGTGGTGTGTGACCCTGTAGGCCCATTCTAAGTGGTAGTGACTTTAGGAACCTTTCCCGAACCACAAGTCATGGTTAGCCTCTAGCAAGACGCCATGACCACCCACTTAGAATTGAGTTAGAGGTGATCTAACCAAAGCATTAACAGTTCGAATTCTGATCCTTTGTCTCACGATATCATATGTTGAACAAGGGCATGGTTTGAGCCACCCTTCAAGTTCAACCGCTTTCTCGTCTTGGTAAATCGACTAATAAAATAGATGCAACTTCATCTATAGCGTGGCCACGAGTTTTCATAGTCCGACTTCCACGAGGGGACCCAACGATATCTCTCCTGTTAAGGAGGTGACAAGTCCCATATTGCATGTCTACTATCTCCATATGATTCGTGAACGTATCTGATCAACGCCGTTATAATCATCCGGTTAAAGACGATATTTGACGCAGTCAAGACACGCCACTCCTCATATCAGATACTCTAGACATCTCAGGTATGAGGATCCATAAACGAACCGCTGTATGAGATTCAAGTCATGACTCTATCCATGTGACAATCTCATGCGGGTCATCCAGTCACTCGTTCAAAACGAGTACCCATGATTGTGATC